TTCCCTTCCCTTCCCTTCCCTTCCCTTCCCTTCCCTCCTCTCCTCTTTCTTTCCCTCTTTCTTCCTTCTTCATTTCTTTCTTCCTCTTTTTCCTTTCTCCTTTCTTCTCTTTTCTTCCTTTATTCTTCCTTTTCTCTTTTTTCCTTTCCCCATTTCCTTTCTCTTTGCAATCTCACGCAACGCTCACAACATTTAGCTAACAGAATTCCCGTTCCAAAGCCCAGAACAGAGCAAGCAACACACAGCCTGGAGAGCACCCAACAAGAGCTGCTCGGGGTGACGCTTTTCTCAGGGCTCTTTTTACTACTCACGATCGATCTGCTGCTCTATTTACTTGCGCCGGCGGTGTTTTAGTTCCGTGTTTGTGTAAAAAAAGAACATAAACCAGCACCACAACAACGCCCACCGTGCACGCAGGGCCAAAGCGTTGCGTTGGGCCCTAGGAGGGAGGTGCCGGGCTGGGCCCTCCCCTGGCAGCGGGCAGGCAGGGGGCATGGCGGCTCTGCGGGCCCGGTGTGTGCTGCTCACCGGCTCCAACCGCGGCATCGGGCTGGAGTTGGTCAGGCAGCTGCTCGGGAGTCCTCACCCACCCACCCACATCTTTGCGACCTGCCGGGACCCAGAGGGACCGCGGGGAAAGGTCAGCGTGCGGGTGGGGGACGGGGCGGGCGGGCTGCGGGCCGGCAGCCGCGGAGGTGAGGGCGGCGGGATGGTGAGGATGGCGCGGGGCTGCCGAGCAGTGCTGCGGGCAGGGCTGGATGCCACTGGTGTTCGAATGCGGCCGTTGTACCACCCTCGTTCGGCTGTGGAGCAGACACAGGGGAGGGAGCAGCTCAGTGCTGTCACTCCTCGTCGCCCTTTGGATGTTGGGGTTGAGAGGCGGCTGGGCAGCAGGCGAGGGGAGGAATGCACGCTGCCATCGCAAGCTGCTGAGGAGCGTCTGCCAGCATTGCCTGTGCGCAGGGGTGACGTGGGGACACGCAGCCTGATGGTGACAGCCAGGGTCAGTGTTTACCCTGCGCCGCGGTGGCGGGAGGTGTTGGAGGTAATGACCTTAAATTGCACCAGAAGAGGTTCGGGTTGGGTACTGGGAGCAGTTTCTTCCCTGCAGCATTCTCTGTGGGCCTCTTCGTGAGAGCTTGTAGTCAATTTGGGCACACTGAATGCGGTCTTGTTGTCTACAACTCGCTAGAGGTAAGGAAAGCTCAGAGCAGAGGGATCCATTTCAGCTGGGCAGGTGAGATGTAGCGCCTGGAGCATCCAGAACTTGTGACTGTGCTGTTTGCATCCAGATAAGTCTTCCCCAGCCTTCAGAATGGATGACCATGGGCACCCTGGCATTGCTCTTGGCATCACAGCCACCTCCTGCTGACTGTTTCTGTGTTTCTTTTCACAGGATCTGAGAGATCTGGCATCTAAACACCCAAACCTGATGCTGGTGAAGCTGGGTAGGTGTGCCCTGGCTGTCGGCTGATACCTTCGTGCCACCAACCACGCTGGCCCCATTTCTCCTCCTGACCCTGGCCGCAGGCTCTGTGTTTGACTCCACATCCCAGCATCTGCCTTCAAGTGCTGCTACCACCCGAAGCCCAATTCCTCCAATCCCTGCCTCATCCCACACCTCCCACAGCAGCAGCATCCCACTCCCTGTGGCCACAGGACGGGGAGCTTCTGGAGACCAACCATGGGCTGTCTCTCTGGGGACTGCCCCCCCCCAGGAACGCTGCAGCAGCACTTTCCCATCGTGAGGTTGTCTGCAGGGATCCCCGCGCGTTGCAGAGATTTTGGTGCCTGGGTGCTGTGGGCCGGTTGCGCAGCACCCTCTGGTGCCTAGAAGGGGAACAGACGGCGCAGTTTGAGACGCCCGACTGCTCTCGGGAGCTCAACCCGTACCTTCCCCCCAAGCCCCTCGGGTGGACTCCAGCCCCAGGGATTACGAGGGTGTTCAGCATTCAGGAACAAATCTAAGCACCCTTCTGCGCTGGGGGAAATGGCACCGAAGCCCATTCTGTGCCTCTTGCAGATGTTGCAGATCCCTCAGCGATTGTCAACGCAGCAAAGATTGTGGAGGGGAAGCTGAACGGCGCAGGGCTGAACCTGCTGATAAACAATGCTGGCATCTTTACCCCGGTGTCACTGGAGATGGTGGGCTCTGAAGAGATGATACGGGCATACAAGACCAATGCGGTGGGACCGCTGCTGATGGCCCAGGTAACTCTGCCTTCTGTTCCTTTTGGCTTCAGCCGTGCGCCTCTCCAGTCACTATGAAGGTCCCCTAAGGCTTTCTGAAGTTTCCTGAGGCTGTGGGAAGGAGAGGATGGTGCTAGCTAGTGCTCACACCCTCTCTCTTGGCTTCCTGCCCTCGCTGGGCAGCAGCAGCTGGGCCAGCTTGGGGCATGGGCACCCACCAGGCTGCTCGTCCCCAGGCGTTCCTGCCCCTCTTGAAGAAGGCTGCCCAGGACAGCAAGGAAAAAAGACTGAGTTGCAACAAGGCAGCCATCATCAACATCTCCTCCTTCTTGGGATCCATCGGGAGAACTCCTGAGTCCTACTTCAAACCGGTCATCTCCTACCGCTGCAGCAAGGTAAGGAGATGGGGGCTCAGGAGCTGGCTGGGAGTCAGAGCTGGCCCTTGCCAGGCCTGCTCTTAGGGCAGCAGCTGAGCTTATGAGATGGAGGAACGTAAATGTGTTGATCACTATCTAAGTTCTCTGGGCACCTGCATGCCCGTTCCCTGCCCACCTAGGGGACACTTGCACCGTTCACCATCTCCTGAAGATCTGGCATTGTTTTTTCTCCCTCACCTTGAGGCACAGATGAGGTTGGAGGTTGGTGCACGGCACATTCTAATGCTTTCTTCCTCCCCCAGGCTGCCCTCAACATGCTCACCAGGTGCCAGGCTCTGACCTATAGTGAGGCTGGGATCCTGTGCGTGGCACTTCACCCCGGCTGGGTGAAAACTGACATGGGCACCCAGGAGGTGGGTGCAGGCTGAGCTTCTGCAGGACGTGGGCCTCCCTGCATGGTGCACTTGGGAAGTGGCATCGGTACATGTCCTGTGCCAGAGCCTTCATCCGAGGCTGGAGGAGGCTGGTTCAGGGGGACAAGGCTTTGGGCCGTCCCATACATGTGCAGTGATGAGACCTCCATCTTGTAGGACTCATCCTGTAAGGGGTTGTTCACACTGCAGGATCCCTGTTTTGGGGGAGGGAGTGGGGTCCCTGTAACCACAGGGCATGGATAAACCTGCACGTAGCATCCCACTTGCAGCAGGACTTTCTATGTGGCTCAGCTCTGTGTGCCTGGTTCCTGGAGCTGCCCCCAAACCTGCAGCTGGCTTCTTAGCCCAAGCCACCTCCATCCAAACCACGCAGATACCCAAATGTTCTCCCACATGAGCGATCCATCCCGTCTCCTGTGGCTCTCCCCAGCATGGGGGCAGGGTGCTTTGCTGGGATGGGTGTGAGCGGGGATGTGTGCTGGTGGGTCTCAGCCCTGCTCCTCACCGACGCCCTTTGCAGGCTGACCTGACGGTGGACACGAGTGTGCGGGGGCTGCTGTCAGTGCTGCCCATTCTCTCTGAGAAGCACAGCGGGATGCTGCTCAACTGGGAAGGCAAAGCAATTCCATGGTGAGCCCTTTGAGGGACCACGCAGTGCCAGGGGTACCCTGAGTCCCCAGGATGATCATCATGGTGTGGCATGCAAGTAACCTACCCAGGACTCTGCCACTGGCTGTGCAGGGCAGGCTGTGATCCCTGCATCTGAATGGCTAATAAACACAATGGTCAATTAATGCTTTTCCCTGTGCTCTCACTGAGACTGTTCCTGCCCTGACCCAAAGCTGCTCTCTGTACAAAATAACCTGCTGTTCGAGCAGTGTGTCTGAACAGAAGGCTCGTCCCACTGGGTGACTCAGCAGCCCAAAGCCCTGCTCAGTGTGCCTGCTCTCTGCCATTCTTCTGCCCAACACCTGGCTCCAGCGGAGTCTCTCTGCTACAAATCTCTTGGTGGACTTTGTGCTGGATGCAGTGTCTGCGTGAGCAGCCTTGGGGCTGAGATGTCCGGCAGTGCCACAGCCCATTTGGTGATCCCAGGCAGCTGGCCATTCCCAATTTTGAGCTGTAAGTGGGCTCAATACCCTTGGGTATGGGAAATCCAATCCCAAAGGGAGCACAGCATGGGAACGGCACTTCTGCATGGAGAGGCTGAGAACAGCAATAACTGGGCTTCTGCAGCAGGCAGGGCTTCTTAATTGGGTTGAACAGCTCTGGACTGCGTGATTTTGTTCTGGAGGTGGTAGCAGCCCCAGAGGTGGGTTTTCCCAGTTTTAAAAAGTTTTCCACCCGTACTTTCCCCTTCTGAATGGATCTTCCTCTTGGGGGACTATAGGGAAAAGCAGCCAGATGCTCCTTCAAGATCAGGAGATCAGAGCAACCCATCTTGTAGGAGATGAAATCCCACAGCTTTCCCCTGAGCCCCTCACTTCCCAACCAGTCTCCCTTGCTCAGGCTCTCTTCTGCAATCTGTCTGAGCACTGGGACAGATGGCCTTGCTGGGACCATGGCTTGGCCCTGCCGTGCCTTAGAGATCTCCAGCAAGCCCTGGCCCCAGCCTGCTCTGCCCCGAAACCCACTGAGTCCCAGCAGTGAGCATTTTCAGCTCTGGGTGCTCCCAAGCCAGTGACATTTAGCAGCCCGGACTTTGGCGAGGACTGGAAAAGGGACAGCAGGGAGCACCTGCAGCTGTGTCCCAGCCTGGGCCAGCTTTCCATGACCGTGGATGGGAGAGCTGCCAGAGCTTGTGAGCTTATCCCTCCTTCCTGGGGTTCCCAGGCAGGCTGAGAAGAGAAGCAAGCTGCCCCTACAAAGCTGAGGGGTGCTGGGAGTATTGCTGGGTGGAGATGGGGTCCATCTGTACCATACTCTCAGGAAGGCTGGATGAGGGGTGAGGTCTCCCCGCTCCAGCGCTTTTGCTAAGCGGTGTGGGCTCTTCCTTTGCACAGGTTCCGGGTGTTTGTGCTCATGCAGCTGATTATCTCCACACTTCCTCTCCAGCCTGATGTTTCCTGCCTTGCTCACTCCCTTTTGCTGGCTTTGCCCTTTGTGTCAGCCTTATCTCCCAGCCCTGGGCAGTGTCAGAGCCCTGCGCTCCCCCTGCTCGCCGTGTCAGAGCCGGTTGCTCCCACTGCCTCTCTGCTCACCAGGGAACAGATTGCTGGCTCTCTTTGATTTCTTCGTTCTTCCAGCATTCTCCTCCTTCCATGCCTGTCCTTTCCTGCTGCTGCTGTCCGTTGGGACACTGCCATAGAGGCTGTGGGAGATGGGTAGGCAGCAGGGAGAGCACTTTCCCCAGGGCTCAGCAGGGGATGCCAACCCCACCTGGCTCTGTGAGAGTGCAGCAAGCTGGAACATGGAGCATGGAGGATTTAGGATCCAACTGCATTCAGCAGCTTAAATGGGATCTCCCAGTTTCATCTTTAGCCACAGGACAGGTGCAAACTTGACTGGGCTGAGCACTGCCCATCTTGCAAGATGCACATCTGCAAGATGATGTGGCCCCAGAGAAATTAAGGAGTTTGCCCTCCAAGGCGGTCACTTCTCAGGGTCTCCCACCTGGTCTGACAAAGGCATGTTGCACTAGGAGCTGCAGTGGGACACCTCCAGGTGTCAGGACAGGGTGAGAAGGACACAGGGAGTCCCGGTGGGATGGGGACCTAGGGGCAGGTTCTGCACCAGGTGGGCCAAGAGCCCCATGGATGGCAACGCTGCTCCAGGAGGAGAGGAGTGAAAGAGGAGAGTGGGGATGGCGTGGGGCTGCTCCACTGTTTGACCTGCTGGCCTCAGCGCTGGGAGGTGGAGCAGCAGCAGGAGGCAGGTCAGAAACCAGCTGGTGAGGACACAGACCGGCAGCACGGCCGGTGTTGGAGCTCCAGAGCATCGCTGGAGCAGAATAAGCAAGAAGTGCGGGGACCTCAGCCGGGACCTGAGTGAGTCTGCATCTCCTTCATCTCCCACATTACCCACGGGACAGAGAGCTGGGGCAGCAGGGTGGTCACATCCATGACACTGCGGTGCCAGTGACTGCTGTCAGCCCTGTCACCAGGGGATCTGCTGCAGAGGAGGGTGCTGGCTGTGGGAGAAACACAGCCGGGCAGGAAGCACACCCTGGCCCAGGCAGTGCTGGGGCCAGCAGATAATGCACCAAGGCTTCCTCCTGCACACTGCAGCCGTGGGGTTGGGGCAACTGTTTGCTATCTGCCTCCCCAGCCCCACCAGCATCCCCTCCTTTGTGTTATTGTTAGCTCCCCAAGCCCCACTGCTGCCTGCCCTGCTGCTCCCTGCCCTGGCATCCTGGGCAAGTGGCTCCATGGCTGCTGTGTGCTGGGAGCTCAGTGCTGCCTTTGTCCTCCTGGAGACCAGCATCTTCCCCAGCCATTTTGTGTCCCAAGGGCTCCTTCCTGGCCCTTTCCCATAGTGACAGAGGATGCTGGGGTTGTTGTGTTTTGGAGGTTCCACGGTTCCCTCCTTGCTGTCTCTGCTCACTGTAAGCTGGACTGATCCTGCCCGGTACTTCCTCTCAACCCACCCCACCATGCCCACTGTCCACATCCCTCAGTGCCACATCTTCATGGTCCTCAGACATCTCCAGGGATGGGGACTCCCCTGTTTCCCTGGGAAGCAATCTCGCCGGGGTGCTGGGCAGGGTGGGACCCTTTGGTGCCTGCAGGAGAAACTTGGGCAGGTCCCATTGGCTTTATGGGGAACACGCTTGGGCTTGGACATGTGGCAGGTTAGATCTTCCAACTGGAGGTCTCCCATCCATGCACTGGGAGCCATGGAGATGGTGGAGGAGGTCCAGTCACCCAGAGCTGGGGCATGCTGTGCTCAGCCCTGCAGCAGGAGGGGCCATGCTGGAGGGGTCATTCCCGCTGAGCATCCCCTGCCGCATCCTTGGCCCCACCAGCAGCACACTTTGGCAGCTCAGATTGGCTTTCTCTTTGCTGTCCTCCTCCTTGGAGCCAAGGAAGCGGTGCTGGGGAGGAGCTTGGCTCCTCTTGTTTGTTATTACAGGATAAAGTTACTCTTTAAAGCAGAGCCAGCGCTGTCGGGGCCGCATGCCATGCAGGAACATCGCTCGTTCCCAGCGGCTCCGACGTGCTGGCTGGTGTTGTGTCCCAGCCCCAGGCACGGTGAGGAGGGCTCAGATGGGGGGACCCAAGAAGGTGCTTGGAATCTTCTCCTCCTGCTTGGGGAGGTGGAGAGCGAGGGGACAAAGGCTTCTTCCAAACAGGAGGGGGATACATAGGGGTGAAGATACTAGAGCAAAAGCTGGGGGCAGTGGGAGGGCAGAACATGCCTGCAGGCTCCAACCTCTGTCTCCACCGCTGCCAAACCCAGAGGTGTCCTTTGCTGGGACCTGGCAGGACTGAGCAGTGCCCACAGCTCCACTCTCAGCACTCAGTGGTGACGTGTGTGTGGGTGGAGGGGAAGGAAGCGGAGCTGGGGGGGCTTCCTGGAGAGCTCCTGCACCTTCTGTGTCCCCAGGCCGGGTGCAGGGCAGGGACCCCGTGCAATTCCATTGACATGCTGGGTCCCCAAGCCACAAGTCATGCTGTCCCCCTGCTCATGGCACTGGGGAAGCAAAGCCACCAAGGTTAGGGATGTCTCACATATGCGGGAGCCATTCCACCTTGGTGTGCCAAGGTGAGGTGGCCCGCTCTGCCTTGACCCCAGCAGAAGGAGCCGGTGTCCTCCCCACCATCACCCCACCCGATGTCTGTCCCCACTGCATGCTGGGGTCCCTAAGAAACCTCCTTGCTCCACGGCATGCTCTCATGCACATCAAAACCATGCAAAACAGCATGTTTATGTGCCTTGCTGTGGGTGGAGCGCCAGTCCAGCAGGGACAGGAGATGGTTACAGCCGCTTCCTATTGCCCCGCTCACCCCTTCTCATTTCCTTGACCCACGTCCCTGAGCTTTTGTTGTTATTCCATCTGGAGGGCGGCGAATATTTGCTGAAGGGGGGAGCTTTGACCCATCCCTGGGGGCCACCTTGGCCGTGCCCGAGGTCTGCTCGATGCCATGGGTCGAACCCATCGGTGCCAACTCCGCGCTGAGCCGCGTGCAGCTCGGCCATGACCTCAGCCTTCCTGCCGCGTGGGACAGGCCCGCAGGGGCTGCAGGAATCCTGTGAATCACAAATACTTTTGGAGTGATTACTCTGGGGCGTGAGATGCTTCCTACGGCGCAGGGTTGACAACACAGACCCGGTGCATTTCCAGCATGTCATCCATACCCTTAATCCAGGCAAGGGTTGGGGGTGCTTCTTGCCATCCTCATGGGGCAGAGGAGAGGACTCGGAGAGGGGAGGACAGCTCTGCTGCAGAGCTGTGCCCTGGGTGCCAGCTTGCAGTCTGGCTGAGCTGGCCAGGTTTCCAGCAGAGCTTAGAGCTGTGAGTCAACCTCCGTCCTCTGTTAACTCCTTCCCTGGTCCTTCTCCTCTGCTTTGTAACTGGGGGACCCAGGAAAGCTGCAGCAGTGCTGAAGGGCACAGAGGGTGAAATCGTGGCCGTGAGGTTTTGGGGGCCACAGGCTCCGTGCTGCACTGCTCCAGCACAGAGCAGGAATGCCGAGCATGCAGCGCTGCAGGGTGTACACGGAGGGAGGCATGGAGCCAAGCCCTGGCCTCGTGCCCTCTGCTGAGAGGGGAGAGGACGTGGCTCAAGACCTGACATCCAGGGTGTCCAGAGAAGGGAATGGAGCTGTGAGGGTTCTGAGCACAGCGCTGTGGG